CAGTAATCTCGTGTGTGAGAAATTAACGTCTCATACCCCAACCCTGCAGGAAACGGGACCTCCATTTATTCGTCCCTATCCGAGAAGACTAGAATATCTAACCATTTCCTGATGTTATAGAAAGGTAGCAAGTTCTCCTCAATTATTTTAGGAACCTGAGTGTTGGTCCGGCCGGGGCTCGAACACTCGACCTCACGCACAACAGTCCAGCGCTCTATCCATGAAAAAGACGTGTCCACTACTGGCCTCACCTCATTCTTTTATGTTCCAAAACGACAAAAACACTAAAAGACAAAAGGGATATATGCATACTAACCTGGACAGCGCCTTGTATTGCAGGCTCTCGTTACAGCCGTGTTATTTAAACACGTGACTTGCATTCCACCACCACATGTTTTCGTGCATTCGGTCCAACAGGTTTGATCTGCAACAACGTAATTTTGATTCTTAGAAGATAAATCGTAAGTACTTTTGTATTAATCTGCCTTTGATAGCTGAAGCCTGGACCCCAGCGCAAATTCCTTATGCATTATTTTTTTGAGGATGTTCTTTGGGGAAGCCACGTGGCCGTTTACTATGAGCTATCGAGTACAAGAAAAATCCAAGATAAAACGTTCGTTTTGGAAAAGACATGTGTACTTACTATTTAACGCTGCAGAGACGTTTCCAGTCGCACAGCATTCATGAAGTAAAATCGGGAAAAGAAATGGCAGAAGTGTAATCATGGTGAAACACCTACAAAGAGCAGCCTGTTAAAAAAATTGAACGACAGAAAGATCACATCGGGAAAAAAAAAACAGTATAAAGGGAAAGAATAAATCTTATTTATAGTAAGGGGATTTTTTTCGATAAGCGAGATAAGATAATAAATTGAAGAAAATAACTTGAGAAATATTCGAGAGAGATTCTAAATGTATTCCACCTTATTTGAAAAAAGTTACGTCGAGTGCCTGAGGGGGGAGGAAATCAACACAAAAGCTATCGTATTTTTTCGTTTAGCGTGTGATAAATCTAAAAGGTAGTTTTTTTTTTTTTTTTGAACAGTGTAATTGCTGATGATCCCGGATTGATGTCTTCTTAAATAAAAAGGGGACAAGACGGGGCCAAGGGGAGGTGGAGAAGGCCATCAAATTGAACAAGCCACATCGTCAGGCAAGTTCAACTCACCAACTTTGCTTTGGAGCTGAAATTTTTGAAGTGCAGTTTACTGCAAATATTTTTGCTCTGTTTATGATGTTTTCATCTTTAGCTGGTTTCAATAAGTCTAAATTAGGAAAAAAGACAATCAGGAAAAAATCTACTATTTACAATGCGGAACAGTGTTGTTCATGCCTCAATCGACCCCACGTCGAGGTCAATAAATTATGGCTGCTGTCATGCGCTGTTTAATAAACGTTTACAAAAACTATGCTAGAATTTCACCTAGAATAGTAAGCTCACTAATAAAGGTGTAGATCTTCCGAGATAGACACCATTCTGATTACTATTGGTCTATCTCGCCTCCCGTTAACATCATGTAGTACCATGCTCTTGATTTGAAGTGAGTAGATACTCTTTGCGGAGTTAACTCATAGAAAGGATTTCAGGAGATATAAAAGTAGATCTAAAAAAAAAAACCCATTACATCTTCACAAAGCTTTCTTTGATATAAAATGATCTGTCATAAGGACAGAAGTGTATCTCTAACTCACCCGTCTATTTAATTCCAAAAATACATCACTGATAATGTTGGTTCACCCGCTAGGATCTTGAATTCGTCTGCGCTCAAACCTGTAAATCCATTAAAATACGATGGAAAAAAAAAGAAATGTTTAAAGTATTTGTGTTAATCTTCTAAATCGTTCAAAATAAAGATTTGGGGGAAATGAATAATACCCGTAATTACCAGCAAACAACCCGCAATGTGACAGGTTGATCTGTTAGAAAATCAACAACTCGGACCACTAAAGTTCGCTCAACAGTGATGTTCATTTACTCTATTATTTGTGACAACAAGCTCGCTTCATTTTCAGCTCTTGAAACTGAACTGGATTTTTTTCACTGTTTACCAACTCATCAACCGCACAATGGCTCTTAATTTAAGAAAATACTCTGTCGTTAAGAAGTATGACGGCCTGAAGTCTAAATGTCTCTCTGGTAAATTGAAATGGAAAGAAACGTTGAACCTGAAGGAAATCAGTCAATGGAGTTGTTCATAACGCAGCCATAAATCTTGACGTTGGATCGTTCGAATTCAAAGGTATACTTATTTTCTTAAAGTGAACTTTTAGAAGGCCATGATGTATTCTAGATTCAGGGTATAAGAATCAAAGTAGCAAGACCGTGGTCAATTACTGAATTCACAAATGAATAGGTAAAAGAGTATATTTTCCGTTTACCGGGTAGTTAACTTACGAACTAAAAAAAAATCATCTCCAAGGAACTGAAAGCACTGAGACTTTCGTAAGTGCAGTCATCCCTTAACCTGAAAGTTTTTATTTCCCATAGAAGGTTCCATGATATGTTTAATCTGTCATTCCGTATTCCTGACTCAAGAATAACCATTTTAAGCGATCATGTTAGACAAATTTTATTCATATTTTTCTCCGAATGCTTCTTAAAGGTGATTAAGTCATAAGGTGTAGCATGCGACTCAAAGAAATTTACATGAGAAAAAGTAAGGAATAAGTTTATCAAACGTTTGATTGGCTCATTCCGCTAGAAGCAACATTTTGCTCTTCATTTAACTGTTCAATCATATCATCAAACCCGGAAAATTTTACAATACTTCAACATGCATCCTTTCAACAGATTTAAGACACAAGCAGTAACTCAGATGATCAAAACTAGGCCTTCCTCTGGGATCCAAAAATAAAAAGGAGCCAAAAGAGAATTTTCATTGACGGATAACAGCTGACCAAATTGTCATTAATAAAAATGTTTATAGAATGTTGTGGTTATTCCCAACAAAGAGAATCAAGTGTTTCACATCATGCTGAAAACAGCGCAAATGACTCCAAAGGTTACTTGCTCAAACCATATACATAGTGATTTCCTTTTTTGATGTATACCGAATGTCAATTCCAACTCATTCATTCTGTGATATTTTCATTTTTGCGCCGGTGAGCTCACCAGCCAAGTTGGAGTATGCCCAATCAATTTGACTCAAATGTCACGACCCACAGCTTACAAAGAACTGCTATGAATGTATTTCGGCAGTGTAAACTTCACATCGCTCCCAGTTACTAACTTAAAAAGTCACTGTGCGAGCGCGTTTTGATCCAAATTGATCCAAAGGACTCAATCAGTGTAGTTGAAGAGGATACATTGCATTTAAACAAAAGAATGGCCATTATAAAGTGATCAATCTTTGGTTAGATTTTAATTTTAACTTTCTTTTTATCATATTCTACTAGTTTCCTCAAGATGGATACTAACTAAAAAATAACGACATGCGAAAATGGAAAATGAATATAGAGATTTTATCTTTTCCAAACCTCCCTCTTTCGCCATATTTTAAGCACTTTTGACAATAAAAGCAATTCCTCAAATTGTTTTCATTCGTTGGGAATTCTTAAGCAATTTCTTATAGCTTAAAGATCCCGTGATATAGATTAATTGAAAAAGAGGTGGAAATAAGGTAGCAATATTTCACAGAGCATTTCCAGAAAAAAAGAAGCGGCACTCTTTCATATACACATACCAGTCAATTTTTTTTTCCGATTAGATTTATCTTGTTTCTGTGCTCTGGTGAGCTGTTCACTGATTAAAAAAAATTGATTTGATCGCGTAGATCCCTGCATGTTTGTGTCCAGATAACATTTTTGTCAATATATAAGCTCGACATTTATTTTCAACGCTACGATGAAAGCACAAAACGGATAAAATTATCTTGTTTTGTAAAGTATTTTCTAGTTTGAAACGAATGGTCAATCGGAGATAAATTGCAAGTTTATTTTGTATTTTTCAAGTTTAGGTTTTTATTAACTTAGACACCCCACAAAGCTACCTTGGTCTTAATAAGCAAGCGTAAATAAAGGTCAATTACATTATACTCCGACAAGATTCCCTGAAGTGAAGCAGTTCTTTCTAATTGATATTCCACGACGGTGAATTTGTTCTTCACTTTTCTAACATTCACTCAAATGAATGCAATGTTAAAGAAACGGAAGAGCCTGTTTTAGAGAAAGTCTGATTTCGTTTACATATGTCAAAAACATTGATTCCTCTAAGACAAAAAGAACAAAAGTCTATGGAGCTGCATTGTTTAATGCCAGATAACTCCAGTGCTAAATATTCTATTTGAGTTTGATCATTATTTCATAGCTTACCATAAACTGTTTCCTATGTTTAGATTGGAAAGATCTCAATTACACACAGCTAACAAGCGAGACAACCCTTATGAAAAATTAAAGAGGCCCACTGAACCTGCTTAAAAGGTTCCCATTTTTCCGGATGAATAGTGGTCTCTTAAGGCAACCACAGTTTCGAGAACATTTCTCGATTAGCAGTTTATGTGACAAATACAAAAATTCCGTCTCAGTGTTCTGATCGTAGTTCTGCTCAAGGCAATTCTCAAGAAACCTTAAGTGATAAATCTCGATGTATTCCTTTCTGACTCTACCTTAAATATTTATTTTGCATGTTTTGTAGCCAAATAAAGGAACAAAGTTTATCGAACAGAGACTCGTCAGAGAATAACCTTTTTCATGGAGACTTTCAGCTCTAGGTATTGATGTGAGTAGATTCTCCTTCAGGCAAAAGATTTTCGAAACAGAAACACCCGCGAGACAGACAATTACCAATTTTTAAATTTTTTTTCAAAGCTCCACCTGAGTTTTTATAATTTTCACCTTGTTTCAGAATTGATTCAAGTTTATTTCTTTAGTCAGTATAGAACAGAATATTTTAGTCGGAATGCGAGGTAAATTTTCACTGCCATAAAATGCCAGGGCTATGAATTATGGAAAGCTACTTGACAGGTCATGCATATTTAATAACTTTCTCTAGCAAACAATTGAAGCTATTTTCAAAACACAAAATTAATTATTGAAATTTCATATTGATTGAATCTGTTGTCACTTAACCCGGGAACGTAATTAATTATTCAAAAGTCAAACTTTTCACAAGCTTTCTCCTTTTCTATCTTTTCGCGCTTCACACTTACGCCAGGTACTGTAGTATAAACAAGTACACGGCTGACTTTATAAGCCGATCGAAAAAATTCGTATGAGAATCTACACAAGCGACTAATTTTAGTGTCAGAGCTTCCTTTCAATTTTTCAAAATATTTTCGTTTCCACAAAGAACACGGAAATTTTTTGCTTTAAATCGCGTCCCATTTCAGATATCCGTTTGGTAAACTCCTCCTCAACATTTTTGGAGTTCAAGATTAAACACGTGCTCGTCAAATCAAAGAAACGCACGTGTTCCATAGTACGGACTTACGTCTGCTCTTGAGTTCTTTGCGAGCGGAGTCGAGACGAAAAATCTTGCGAAAGTCTCGTATTTTTGAAAAGAGCTGATAGAGTTTATCTTTCATCGCGTAATTTAGAGACAGACTGGAATTCTTCTTTGTGCGCGTATCCAGTTCAGGTAAGAAGTTTTCAGATAACTTGTAAATTGTCTTTGTTACAAAGCAAACATTTGTTCGAAAGTTCGGAAGACAGGAGCAAAATAGTAATAACCGAGGACCAGAAATTTCGAGGAAACTTTAAGTTAGAAGTTGATAAGATTCTGCCGATATCTCAAGCTACTAATGTATTCGCTCCCGCAGGTGCTCAGGAATTCCTAAATTTAAAGATCGAGAACGCCAAAGAGAATTTTGATCTGAGAAAGTAAAATATTTCTTTGAGCTAAAACCACAGTAGTTATGGAAATCTTAGTTATTTTAACCTTGAGATGATAACTGCAAGAGCTGTACGAATTTGAATCGATAATATTGTGGCTTTGATGCGGAACAAAATTTTTAAACAGATTTCCTTGCACTGCCGATCTGTTCTAGCAACGCTGATTTTGTTCACCTCATATCAGATTTCCTTTTACCTTTTACCGCTGAGACTAGACGTTTTGATAATGTTCCTTCACCGAAAATTCGTGAAAGTGTCTATTAAAGTTTTGTGTTTGCTTGTTAAATTACCCATGACACATTGTGTCGGTCGTGAGGAAGGCATTAAGACAACTTCATCAAAGCTGCCTATCAAGCATTATCGACAGAATAACCGTGACAAAGATATCATACAGTATTGTCATTTGGAGTAAAAACGGAAAGTGTTATAAAAAGATTTTTGTTTTTGTTCAGTCTCGTCGGAGTGAATAATTTCGGTCGTAAATTATTCGCTGAGCTGAAGCCTGGTGGGCCTCCCGGCACGTGCCACAAATATTCTGTCAAAATAATGGAAAAGCGACTACCTGCCTTGGCAAAGAAAAGAAGCTTGTTTTACCGCCAAGAAGTTATTTAGCCTTCATCAATTTTTCAAAACGTGGAGCAGGTGACGGAGTACGCTTCATTTGACAATGCATGAATAATTTCCTTTCCAACTTATGTCATTTGTATAAAGCCAAGAATATGGCACCTGGTGAGAAGGGCCGACAGAGCGTTGTGCAATAATTTATTGATATGCTTTTCTATTTTTCATAGGTTTCTGCTTGTTAAACTTCCTTTACTAGCGTGAAACTAACAGTGAAGATCATCTTAGCTATAGCAACGGTTTTTTCGCGCTCGTTTCTAGTTGTTGTGAAGTCAAGATATTACAAATGGCAACATTTACAGCGTTGGACCGAACCAGACAAGGGGGAAAAACTTCTCCCATTCAGGTCCAAACTTCCCCTAATCCGCCGTCTTCCCCGAGGATTAAGCTAACCGCTGAAGATCTGTTCAACTATTTGTATGGCTACACGCCCATTCGTCTCGTGGATCCTATCCAACTACAGCAAAGGAGACGAAAAGCTTCACAACTGGAAAATGGGGCGTCTAACAAAGCGTTTTCATGTAAGTATAAAGATTACAGGTAAATATCGTCTGGCGAATCTCGTAATGGTGCCATACCCCATGACAAACGAGACACAGCTTCCTTCAAAATAGTTGGGAAAAACTGACCGCGAGATAAACTACATAAGGCTTTGATAAATTTGCCTGGGCTAGTATCTGGAGCATTCATTTACACTTTTAATATATGTATATATTATTGTTTACTTTTGATGGAGCTGAAAAATCAATGTATCTCTTTTGGTGTATTGCGGCGTTCTCAGTTCTTGCATGAGAGCAGAAAAGTTCGTATCAATTACTGGGAAAAATTTATCCAAAATCTCTTTTAGAAGCAAGTGGTTTCATAAAAATTATCACGTTCCTTTGAACATAGAGTTTTAAAGAGTGGAGCGGATGAAACATGATCAGTTTATAATGAGACCTTCCGTGTTCTGCTGGATTTGAAACACGAGTTTTGGATGTAGCACCAAAAAGAGTTCAATATGAGTTACCCAGTCTCTTAAATTTCCAAACGCTAGAACTGTTTGTTGTTAATTTTCAAATATGTTTCCAATACTGGCCTCCACACCGAGAACTGTGATTTTCTAGTTTTCATTCTTTACTAGTTCATTCAAAAGTAGTTTCCTCGCGAACTGGAACTGGTCACATATTTTTAAATACTGAGTTGATTATGTAATCTCATTTTTCAAGTTAGTAAATTTACAATTCCTGATCTGCATTAGGGATGCGATTTATTTTTATCAAGTATGCAAATGATACAAATGAACTCTTTGTACACCAAACAGGAAAGAAACAAAAAACTGAGGTCAACAGAAAAATATCATTTAAGTTTCTTAACCTTGTAACTTTTAACATTAAACGTATATTTGACGAAATAATGATTGGTACTTGTGGAACATGATAACAGGTTTTACAGATTGAAAAAATTATTGATTCAGGCGGATTCCGTTGCGAACAATGGGAAAATTCCTCCATGGTCTCATCTATTATTCAATTTTTACAAAGTTGGACTGATCGATGATAGTGGATTACTGAATTTTATTTTCAGAATAGCACTTTCAAAGTATTGGGTTATTTAATAAGCAATTGTGGAAACATGGAACTGTCCTGAGATTTAAATACATTCTAACTTTGTCCGTAAATAAATCGTCGGAGAAAAGTGAGATGAAGAGTTCATTTTATTTCAAGAAATAAGAACAGCTTCAGATTAATAGTTTCCACGTGGTTGGGAGAGGTGTAGCCTGGCGTTATTTATGTTCTGAATACATTGTTTCGGTCTATTGAAAAACAACAAGCTTCGATCTGTCAGGAATGGCTTTCCGCAGAAAACCACATGGAAATGATTTTACAAATATCTGTTCATCGCAAACAAATAACTTGAAGAGTTGTTAATGAACTTAGCCTTTTGAACTTTGTTTAAGTTGTCGCCGACTCAAAGTTATTGCGCGAATTTTTGTTCTCCGGGCTTAATAGCTGTGAGCCAGATTTTTTTCACCTTGCAATTTAACTGCAACATTTACACCTTGTAGCTGTAACAAGGACTCAGCAGTACCAGTAAAATACGGAGCTCTCAATTTATCTAAATTTAGAAGCAACTAGATGGCTCTTACCATGCCAGACACGTGCTACTCAAAGTTTTGCTTTTTTTCTCACGTGTGACGAGTATTGAAAAGATGTTGTGTCGTTTTTTTCCCCTTTTTTCCCTCTAATTGTGATTATTAATTATGATTGATAAACGAAAGATCTGTCCCTCGACAGTGTTAGTTCATTAACAAGCAGACCCGTAATAAGAGTATAAAGACCTCAAGTTCTAACAATTAACGAACCAAAAGGAAAATTCGGCCCTCGACCAATTCAATTTACTATCATTCATATAATATATCCAAAAAAAATTGTTTCTACAGGTTATTCTAACTTTCTCTTACTAATCACCATTTTTCTTATAGGGTGCGATATCTGCAACGAGAAACATGATGGAGAATGTCCGATGCATGGACCTTTACACTCTCTCAGAAAACTTGTGAGCGCTGGGCAATCCCATAGCCCTTTGGAAAATGGATCCATTCTCAAATTCCCGGATGAGGTATGCTTGTGCACATCCAGCATTCCTTGTCTTGGCTATGGAGTGTGCGCGAGGAAGAGGATACCTGCTGGGACCTGGATCGGGCCTTACGAGGGAAAACTTGTGCGACCAGAAGACATCAAGGTGGAAACAGAGACAGAATATATGTGGGAGGTAAGAAAGTGACAATAATAATACTAATTCAAGTTGAAGATGATTCCTGTTAAGGCAACCCTCTGGTAGAATGGAGTTAACGTAATGTTTTCTTTTTCAGGTGTTTCATGATGGACAGGTTAGTCATTATCTTGATGGCAGAGATGAAGCTAATTCCAGCTGGATGCGGTTTGTTCGCTGCGCTCGACACAAGAAAGAACAGAACATGGTGGTGTTTCAATACCATGGCTGTGTCTATTACAGAACAATCCGGGAGATTTTGCCCGGACAAGAGTTGCTAGTGTGGTATGATACAAGATATTCACAATTCATGGGGGTTCCTGTGGCACTCAGTGATTCTGGCAGCAGAGGTGAGTGACGAGAAAAACTGTCCCATGATCAGTAATGAGCACTTTTAACTCTTTTATTGAACTCACACTTCCCTCTCGGCCAACCCAGGCGGTAGCTAGGTGATTGAAGTCCATTATCTATCACCAGGTGTCCACCCCCCTCGGGATCTGGTCGCCCAAGAAAGATCTCGGGCCAGAGCCGCCGACAAGAACGAAACAATCGAAGCAGCGGCTCGGAGAAATCTTACAGACCATGCGCCAGCACAAAGGGGCCGGCCTCCCTTGCGAAGAAATGAACCTGCCGAATCGAGCAAATCTGAACAAGATCACGTGACGCTGACCGAAGATAGAAGAGCAACCTCGTATCGAGGACGGGGCTACGGATACAAACAACAAACTAAGACGCCTGCGCGCCTTGATCCAGCGGATGATTTCACCTGGAGGTGTAACCAGTGCTTTAAAGCGTTTACAAACCGAGAACAACTTGAGGTGCATCATTGTAACGGAACCACTGGCGGAAAGAACTTGACTTGTTCGCACTGTAACCAATCATTTTCTCACCCCATGGAGTACCGCGCACACATGGAGACACATGTTAATGAAAGGCCCTTTAGATGTGGCTATTGCGCAAGTGCCTTTGCCAGTGCTGCTTTGTTGAACCAGCACGTACGAGTACATATGGCTGAGGGAACTCTGGGTCCAGTGAAGGCGTCGCCAAGACACGACAGAGCGAGTCAAGAGTTTCATTTTTAGAGACAAATATACTGTATTCGAGAATTTTAAATTTTAAATCAGCAGTCATCTCTTCACGCAGCTATTCGTAAAAGAAGGAAAGAATCACACTTTCACTTGCGAGCTCACCAATCCCGTATCATTCCTGAGGAATTGTTTTTGGAGTTTGGTTTGCCACGCAAACAAATTAATCGAATGACTGCCTAGGCGGCTGATGATTTAAGTGTGTTTATACACACAGAACTTGTATGAATGTATTGTTGGGAAAATCAACGGGAAAAATATAATTCGTGGCTTAACAAACAGTCATCCAAATAACTCTCATGAAATAGAATACGAAGACATTTTTTTGGAAAAGATTACTTCTTCACATGCTATTCAAATGCTTTTTTAATGCTTTGCACCGTGATAAGTTTCAAATGCATGTATTATTTCCACGTGAAATAAAACGGAAAAATTGAACAAAGGCTGTGTCAACATGTTACTATTTGGAGCCGTCTGAGACACGCAGAGAACTGTGTAGTTTCGAAGAAAAATCCAAATTATAGAACTCTATTAATATGGCATCATTCGGGTGCTAAACACTTCAAAATTATGTGCCACCCCCCGATCTACTCCCCATTCCCCCTTAGGAAACGCATCATTCTACCACCTTCAAATACACTCAAACCATCTTATATAATCTCCAAGTAAACACTGGATTAGTGTTAGGAGGACCTGGGCAATTCTTAATTTGTAGAATAATTTAGTACCATTAGTTTACCAATCAGGAGCTTAATTAAGTGCCATTCCCGCTAAGAGCGGTCCTCTCGACTTCCCGTCCAAAAAAAATTTTCCTTGATTTTTTCCTATAAAAAGGGTTTAGGACATATGTTTGAAAAAAAGTTTGTTTGTTTTCCAATTCTCTTTTTCGCCACAAGCGAACATTGACTTTTGGCAAGACCACCCGTGTAGAAAACCATCGAAAGTGTAAATTTCACAGCTTTTGTCAAGCGCGCTGCGACTGTAATAGTGTAGTTCACGGAATCCTCTCTTGCTTCAAGTTGCAAACTATATTCAGTCAGTTCACAGACGAAATGTGGAAACTTCGCTTGAATCCCTACTCATACCAGCGTGATCAGAAGAGACCCTTCCCTTTGACCTTTATTCGCATATCAAAAAGTAACCAATTTAAAAGAAAGAATTCTCAAAATGCAGGCGTTAGTCGGGCTAAAAAAATATATCGGATGACAGTTTGTACACCAAAGAGGTCACCGATTGCCTCAAACCTACGGGTATTTCTCTAGCTTTCATCCACCATCACCTTGAAACAACGCAAATCAATGTCTTTAAGTTAATCACGCAACGCAGTATTCGCCTGGCTGGTTTTGATAGTCGCAGGAAAAGGTTAAGTTTGTTGCACAAGAACGTTGAGGACTGTAACAGCATAAAATCGTTAGTGATGGCAGCAAATGTTCAGAAAGGAGGGCCTGTTGATTGCATTCCGTGTGCTAAACCTCAGTTGAAACTGCAAGAATTCTTGCAGGTTGTTTTTTAAATAACACAGTACCGTACATGTACTTTAACTTGTTTGTGTGTCCTTTTAAGCTAAACAATATGTCTGCAATGACCAGAATGGCAAATTGGATTCTTTAATTTTGATCTAGTTCACTCTGTACGTGCTCTTGACCTGATTCAAGTAAAATTATCGAGAAAGCGCCTTCCTATCGCCTTTGTTTACTTTGCAGTAAATGGTTTGTTTACTTTGTAAGTCATGCAAGCGTTAGGACTGATTATGTTTAAAAAACGTTTTAGGACAACTCGCGATTTATTTTCTATCCAATTGTTATTAAAACCTAAAATAATTTACGTAGAAGATAAACAAACGCAGTTTGAACGATCAAAGACATATTTTGGTCATTTTTCAGAATTATGCAAACGAGCTTTGATACGTGCATGATTAAGTAAAGAGATAGATTTGCATTGTTTTCAAGATGATGGTGGATGAAAGCTAGCGAGATACCCGCTGGTTTGGGGCAATCGGTGACCTCATTGGTGCACAAACTGTCGTCCGATATATTTTTTTAGCCCGACTTACGCCTGCATTTTGAGAATTCTTTCTTTTAAATTGGTTAGTTTTTGATATGCAAATAAAGGTCAAAGGGAAGGGTCTCTTCTGATCACGCTGGTATGCATAGGAATTCAAGTGAAGTTTCCACATTTCGTCTGTGAACTGATTGAATATAGTATGCAACTTGAAGCAAGAGAGAATTCCGTGAACTACACGATTACAGATGCAGCGCGCTCGACAAAAGCTGTGAAATTTACAGTTTCGATGGTTGTCTACGATTAACTATGCCAAAAGTCAATGTTCGCTTGTGGCGAGGCGAAAAAAGAGAATTGGAAAACAAACAAACTATTTTTGAAACATGTCTCCTAAACCCTTTTCATAGGAAAAAAATTAGAGAAAATTGTTTTAAGGACGGGAAGTCGAGAAGACCGCTCTTAGCGGGAGTGACACTTAAGCAAACATGCAATTTAATCACGCGAAAAATACCTCCAAAACAAATTAATTTTGATGTTATGAAAATCTTCAAATAAATCAAGCTTCAGGTGAAAGGTTAAAGACTTTCTGTACATTCCTGTACAAAGTTCATTGGCTAAATTATTTTCAGCGACGTGATAACTTCAGAAGTCCGGTAAAATTGTAAATATTTCACCTTCAATTCTTAACGATTAGTTAACGGTTCGTTTAAGTCGGCACCACGTGTTTTGATATATCTGCGGTTTAAATAAGAATACTATGAAACATTTTTAAACTTCTTACCTCATTTGCCGTACAAACCAACATGGGTAGTCATTTCGGCGCCGTTCTTACGATTAAGTTCGAACTTTCAGTATATTCACAACTTTTGAAGTTCGTGTCATCTTCCCGGCATGTCTTACAAATAGGTGGTTTGCAATCAATCTTTAGAGACACAGGTAACAATGGTGAAAGTAACAACTGCTGGTGGACGAACAAAAGGAGCTAATGAGTTATCTATTGTTTACGTCCACCAACATGGCGGCAAACGTAACGCGCAAACCACCAAAACAACAATTCTTAACTCGCAATCGCTAAATTTCACCGCCACTACAACTACCGAACGTTACTTGCTCGTCAATAAACCAAACGCTTAACAAAATCTTCGAAAAATGCTGCCACAACGGTCTAGTCGTATCTTTAGTTGTATCATCTTGTCACCGTACTCACTACTGAAAGATATCGTCACCGGCATTTACGGGGTTGGGGAGAGGTACTGAGTTATTTTGTTCATACATGCTTAAAGCATAGGACATGATCATGAACAGCAACCACAAAACCTATATAACACTAATAACACAAGGAGAGATACTCCGAACTTCCATTCTTTTCTTTCTCTTTTTAAATAACAAATAAAAAAGCAAACAAACAGACAAAAAAAGAAAACAATCAAACAAACAAAAAACTACAGAGTGGTTTTAGTTATGACTCAGGCTCACGCAAGAGATCTTAAGCAGTCAGGACGGCAACGCGAAGGAATTAAAAAATGAATTTCTGCTGTTAGTTAGGATTTCAAAAATAGCTGCATGAGCTTATTGTCTCATACGACGCCACAGCTCAACTTCAGTATGACGTATAAAAGTAGCGTTGACGACGCGAATTTTGGCGATTTCACGTTGTTGTTTTGCATAGGACGGCTAAGAAATGTACAAAGTTTCAAAATGCACGTGCTGAGCTATTGTTCTGCCAATTAGATCTCTTGTTTTTCTGCGTCCTCGTTGCCGTCGCCGTCGTGGTTGCTTAAGGTGTCCACCGTCGTCGCGAACGGGATTTTTGGCATTTTTATTGGTAGGCAGAAAAAAAAAAAGCTCCCTTAATTTAGAGGAGTATTTCGAGATCTGTATTTCGAAATTTATGAGATCGATACAAGTCAGAGTTCCACGCCAAGTTTTTTTCTTTTTCTTTAAGAACGGGCTTTTCACGAGGTATGTATCTGTCGATCAAACCCTCACCGCTATCGAAAATTCGGTCGAAACTCATTCATTCTTGTTTGCTTTTGTAGCAGAAAACTTGTGGATTGTTGTCTGATGATGAGCGGAAGATTTCTTCCAGATCTTGATCTTTTAAAACTGTAAGCCGGTTGTCCTTCATGCACCTGTGAAGGAAAAAAATTGGGTATATATACAAGGTTAACTCTCCGACATTCACGGTATGATAACAACAACAAAAATTAGTTAACAGAGTAATCACCTTACCAAAGTGCAAATGAATTTTCAGGCAGCTTAAAAGCAGCAGCTGCTGCTTTCAAAAGGTCCACGGTTGAAACTGACTCGTCCACTGTAATAGAATGTGTGAAAACCAATTCGACATCACGTTTTTTTCCAGACTGGGCAGGCGAGACTTTGTCCCGTGAAGGAACCGGGCTTGGGCTTTTTGATCCTGGAGTAGGTGGAAGGGGCTTGGAGGGAGGCCCCATTTCAACAGGTGTCTGTGGTCGCGTATTTTCAAGCGATGGTGGAGTTATTGGCCTAAATTCACTCTTTGAACTCTTTATTGAAGAACGCGGTGAAAGATATCCTGAATCGGATCTCGGAAATCTCGGAGTAGGAGAAGCGCGCGGCGACTGTTGAGGGTTGTCCAGGAAGTTAGGGAGAACGGGGAGCGGTTTAGTGGGAGGTTCTTTCCTAGCTGTGACTTCCTTTAAGGACCCACGGGTTTCGTTTTTCCGTAAATCGCCTAGCAGTGCATCTCTCGTGGATGCCTAAAAGCGAGTCAAAAAGAAAATTAATAGATTTTGTTTATTTGTTTGTTTTTTTGTAAGTGCGTACATACAGTTCTAAGAGAAACACACCATATCACATTTACCGGACGTAAGGAGAGCGAAGAAAAACTTCTAGCACAAGATCTGAAGACTGAGAAGGGTGCGCGGATCTTTGCCACCTTAAGGGATGCCTCAAGGACATCCAGATTCACTTTTTTCATGTTATTTCCATGACTAATCAATTGAAAATCAGCCATGTGTTTTCATTTATGGCTCATGGTGTTTCATCACAAACCACTCCTACCCTTGTCTAACGTAACTGACCAGGACAATCAATGCGGTCAACTGATTTCAGCACTGAATTCCTTTCTTACTCTGTGAGTATAAGGTTTCTATGTCATTGTTACTAACCGCATGTGCTACTTGAGGGAGGTGTTGTTCGGCAAGAGACTCATCTACCACAAATTTTGAGGGGGTTGTAGGACGAGGTGGGGAACGTTTCGGTTGAGGCTGCAATGAGATTGAAACAAAACAAAAATTAGCTCAGCCGCCAGCATGCTACTGCCCAGGCTGCTCTCTTTCAAGGATAGTTGAGTCTTAGATCCCCTCCACTGAAAGACCCTTGTCACTAACAAGACCCAGGCCGGAGAGACATTTGTAACGGAATGACCCGAGTGTTTTCCCTTCACAAAAAATTCGACTTTTGTGCCTTTATATCTAGTGTTTAAGCTTACACTGACATCTCTTTTCATAGAAACAATCAAGGTAAGCAAAAACAAAAAAAGATAAATAAAAAAACTTTTAGAATTATCAATAATATATCATGTATATACATCGTTTACATTTGGAAAACTTCTGCGACAACTTACACTAGAAGGTGTACTTCGTGGGCCGGGAAAACTCCTGACTTGAACCTCAGCAATGACCTGATGGCAACAATAACACAGATCAGAATCCATTTGTGATATTCTAGCGAGCAAATGTACTTCATAAAGGGGTAAGTTTCTTAAGAAACTGTGGTGCTGCGTCAGCGGGGATATTACAAGATACTTTGGTTTTATCAACTGAGTTGTTGATGTCAATTGGCCACCGTAGAAAATAGTTTCTAAAGTTGACGTTTGGAGCGTTAACCCTTGGCAGCAGAGCTACAGAGCGCTAACGCTCCATACATCAGCTTTACAAATTCTGTACAGACTGAGGGCTCGATACATCAACTTCAAAAACTCTGTACGATGGCCTATTTACAATGATGTTCAGTCAACCCAAGTACCTTAGAATGTCCCATGAATTTAGGCTCTTTTTTTACAGCATCAGTAACCCCTTTTGACGGTTTGAAAACGGATGGCGATGGCATCTTAAGAGGCTCTACACTCTGCCCAGACTGAAATAGACAAGACGAAGAAAAAATTCAACATCTCCATCAGTATTAGGATCAGCTAAGTCGGCGTGTTTTCCAGCTTTTGGTGAGCCAGTTATTCAGGCAGAAGTTCTAGATCGATTCACCAGTCAGTTTCCATAACGTGGTTAACCTGTCTGGTCTGCCAGTCAGTGAGGATCGCACGATCACTTGGTTTTCAAATTTTTCATGATCAATATTTTGCCTTGTGGCATAGTTATTCCCTCATTTTGCCAATATTTAATTTGATTTGTCGGAAGAATGAAAGGTTATTTGCCAGGAGGAATCATGTTTTTTTTTTTTCTTCTAAGGAGGTTGGTTAAATTCTTTGGTGGTTTGTTAGTAAGATGATTGGTTCGTCAAAGGAAAAATTATACTGTTGACATGCAAAGAAATTACACCAAATTGCGATCACTTGAGACTGTTAACTGTCACAAGTAACTTTCAGTTTTAGTATTCAGTGAAATCTGCATCGCTGGCTAACCTGCCAGGAAAGAAGAAGATCCTGAATGATGCTTTGCCGTGGCTCCATCTTGAATTGTAAGGCCATTAGGAAATCATTTTTTGTTTCTTCGACATTCCCTAATCTGGACTGAGCGACGGCCCTGTTGGCTAGAATCTGTACACAAAAAAAAAAACTATTCATAAACAAAAAAAACTGTTCTAGATAAATTAATAGGGTAAAATCAAACAAGCAAGACTGAACGAACACAAGCACGTTAAGGCTGCGTGGAAAATGAAGGATGATGAGTTTGCTACGTTTTTGTTAGGTTGGAAAGGTTATGGAACAGCACAATAATTTGGAAAGAAGGAATAATAATAATGAATAATAATAAGGAGTAATAGTAAGGAAAAATAATAAGGAATAATAATAATGAATAATAGTAAGGAAAAACAATAAAGAATAATAATAAGGAATAATAACAAGGCAATGAGAAAGTTATTTCTGGGAATCCTAACTAAATCCAGGAATACTGAACCAAGAAGTGTTCAGCATTATCATCATTGCTATCATTATTATTAAACGATGTGTGTATCCACTAGCTTTTCTTAAATTTTTATCAGACATGTTAATGCATTTTTCGATTTTTAAGCATTTTATCATAATTTTTGTAAATATTTTCAGTGATTATAGTTAATAAATGTCTATTTGATTATTAATAATAACAATGATAATAATAATAATAATAATAAGAATAATAACAATAATATAATTGAAAGCCTACCTCACACAAGTAAAGGTTAACCTTCAAGCCTAATTGATTATAATTTATCAACTTGTTTCCACGAAGAAATAAAGCAGCATCGCTAAAGTTCTTTAAGGCTCTTTCATTTCTGAAAGAATTGAAAAAAAAAATTGATCTTTTTGCAACATATATAATGGTAATAGGACTGAGTCCAGTCCAATTGGGTCTGCAATCATACGTGTGATTAACAAAATCAGACCCCCGCGAAGCGGGAGACCGATTGTTAATCACAAGTATGATTAGCGGCAAAATTAGACGACGTGAAGTCTTGTTACCAATCAGTCAAAACTAGGACAAAATTTGAGAAACAAACTAAACATCAGTTACACGTTTCCTGTAAAAAAAATTATCAACAACAATGGCAACTGAGACGTGTCGAAATGCACGGCAACAGTACATGACGCATGATACATATATCTTATTAACCAAGCGCGAGGACCGTACTGGGAGAATATCGGCTCGAGGTCTTGACAGTACGGACCGAGCGTAGCGAGGTCCGTACAAAAAAGACCGAGTGCCGATATTCTTCCAGTACGGTCCCGAGCAAGCTTGGTGAATAAGAGATTTATTGTACGACTGAAGTTCAAAGGGACACAATTGCAGTATCATTCGGGACCATTCGGGACAGTGCCCGGTCCAATACTGAGAGAATATTGACCGGCAATAGAGCATTTTGATTGGTTGATTTTAGTTATTGGCCCTCTGACTGCCCGAGTCGTGTAATAAATGCTTATTTCTCATCTAGTTGTACCGTAATTTGACGAGCCTGTAGGGTAAGTTAAAATGCAAACAACAAGTAAAAATACTAAGAAATACTACACAACAATACGTCTAATAAGTTTTCTTTTATGCAACTAATTTTTTTTCTGCCAAGTGTTTCTCATTTCTCATAAGGCGGGAAAAACAAAGTGGATAGTGAAGCTAAGCGCGCAGTCGAACGATTGAACAGGTTTTTCGACGGTACAAAACAACCAGCTGTAAGTTATCGCAGGATATATGTACTCTATTCGCTCGTTGTTTGTACTCTACTTTGTGCGGTTGGATAATAAGTCCCAGTTTAGTGCCCAATTCGGGCTGGTAATAACCAATCATGTTCGAGAATTTTGTTATTGTTTGACTATGTTTGAAGCAAGTACTTTGTATTTTTTCTATCAAATTTCTTCAAGAGTTTTGCTTTGCTTGTTCTGAAATAGCAAGAAAATCTAGCTTGTATGCTTGACAAATAAGCTATCGAGTTTAACATTATAAAGCAGGGAACTTAAAATCTTACTCACCTATCTAAAGCCAAATTGATTCTTCCCAGAATATAATGGGCAATCGCCATCATTGGGTCTTTAGCTATTGACTCTTCAAATGCCTTAAAGAAATAGGGCAGATCACCATTGTTAGATTATCTACTTTACAAAAGAACAGGGACGGTCTGATAATGTGTCTTACCTGTGCTGCCATTTCCATTCTTCCAAGGGCCAGATACATTTGTCCAATATTAAACAGATTTCTGCCTGAGGTAATCAGGTGCTGAGAAGAGTCAGTCCTTCCTTTCAGAGCCATAAAGTTTGTTAGTGCATCCTCATACTTGCCCTTCTCCATAAAAGTCACACCATCTTTCCAAATATTCAATATTTCTACGGAAGACATGTTCTTCATGTCCTGGCGTAAATCAAAACACTGCAACAAAATAAACAGTGGAATATTAACTATTTTGCGAAACGAAACGAAACCAAGCAAGATATAACAAAACCAAAGTAATAACAACGATATATTTTCCAAGGAGGTCAATATAACTTCACAAGGATTCTGGAGAAATTGTCGTTAGATGAGAAGGGAATTCTATTCATTTCACAAAGAAGTAATTTAGGAAGAGTTACTATTTTTCTATTTTCACTCAGCAGGCGTTAACCCTGTCATTCTTGTGTCACATAATATGTCTTTGGTTGGTATTAATCTAACGTACCTAGGGCGGATCCAGGGGTGTTTTCCCTCAGAACGCTGGAAATCATGTTTCTGAAGACCTAATTTTCAAAATCTTGAACCCCTCAGAAGGGGAACAATTCTCCGAGCCCCCCTTGACTAAATCCTGAATCCGCCCCAGCGTACTAAGATTTTTGCCTCCTCTTATTTCCCACTCTTTTCTGGGGCGGATCCCGGATTTAGTCAAGGGGGGTTCGGAGAATTGTCCGAGGGCATGCTTCCCCGTGAGATTTTGAAAACTAGGTCTTAGGAAACATGATTTCCAGCACTTTGAGGAAAATTCAGGGGGGTTCCACGGAACCACCCGACCCACCCGACCCACCCGAATCACCCCTGGATCCGCCCCAGCTTTCCCTAATCCTCTTGTTTCTTAATTCTTAATCTTTGGTGATATTCAAATTTGTAATGTTTAAAAGTATTTTTGTGACATCAAGGAGGTCACGTTGTCACCGGAGGGAGAAAATAGTCGATTTCACATTACAATAATTCTTCGTAAATTACTACTTTGCGAAATGAAATAGCAATCCTTCTTATCAATAGACGATTACTCAAAAATCTGCGTGAAAGTTATCTTTACTTTGTTAGAAAATACATCTACATTATTCCTTTAATTTCGTTATATCTCCCTGGTTTCGTTTCGTATCGCAAAATAGAATACACTAACTAATCCAGAGTCGATTTCTAAGGAAACGCGACAGATTTCTTTATCATGGGTTATCTTTACTTGACTGTGCAACACTTTCAATTCCATTCCAATGATTTCATATTGAACAGACTAATCATATATTTAGTTGCATTGTTTAAACACAAACAGCCAGAGAGCGTCCTAAACTACAGCAATGTTGTTTACATATTGAACTCTCAGTAGACGGCTTCCCTCGCCACTCACCGAAACCAGTTCTCATCTAGATTAATACTGAATTAGATCATCATCAATATCCAGGAGGGCTCCTAATTCCACTGTATGACAATTTATACCTTTCCTGGAGTCAAATCGTTTCAACTCCTGGTTTAAGTATTACATCTCTGGTCGGTACATCAGACTTTCGGTGGCACCGGCCCATGACAAAGTGAATGAAATCAACGAGGTTATACACACCTTACTTTGTTATCAGCTTGACTCGATTTCAGCCTGGTTGTTGAATTTGACTGACTTTTCCCTGAGTCCACCCGAAAATGCTTTTGACAACTAAAAGCTAATTAAGTTAGTATATCAGATAGGGCAGTAGTCGAGGGCGTGCATATGTGTGAGCAATTTCCGCAATGATTGACGAACGTATATGCTCTGTAGATGTAGCTGTATGAATAATCAGCGTTGTGGTTATTAACGGTCCTGATTTTCAATAGTGAAAGGAATTTTCGATCTATTGGTTATTTGATTTAAAAAAAAAAAGGTCGATTATTATAAGATCCTGTTTATAATTTGACGTAATCTAACAAAAGAACCAGAAAGTTAGGGATATGCTAAAAACTCCTTGCTCTTTTTGCGTCTTCATTGTGTGTGATTAGTCGAGCATACACAGTTGAAATTTCAGTTTCTCGTTGGGTCGTTTGTCTGCTGACCCGAAGTAATCACTATTAATACTTTCTGTCTGCGTTTTGTGGCGGTGGTACTTGAAAAAACGATTTCGTAAATGTGCATAAAAATATTTTCGTCTGTGTTACTAAAATAGTGCACTGTGCCATGCCTATCGTCACAGGGGTCCAAGATCTGCCCACACTGTGCTTGTACGTGACTTTTAGCAGATAAGGAAGTCAGAGAAAGGAACAACATTGCAAAATATTTAAGAGCCCAAGGAACATAATCAGGCCAGAGGTAAATCAATACCATTACGATAATACATAAATAGACGTATATGTGCACGATCCTTCGCAGTAAAGCACTATTTGAGCAATAGTGAAAATCAGACCTGAAAAAAAAAAATTTCAGGCCTGTACGGGACTCGAACCACTGACCTCTGCGATACTAGTGCAGTGCTCTAGAAGAAGTTACATAAGTTACATTGTATCATTTTTATGAGGAGATGAAATGAGAAACACACTTATCACTTACCGAGTTTTCCAAGCCAGCTATCTTTTAAATGCTAAGTTCTGACGAGGCAAACATTTACGCGCAACTTTGTTGAAGTGTGTCGTAAAAACAACTTGACATAGAAACACCTCTTGATATTTAAATGACAAAAAGGCCACGCTTAAGTGTAGCCGATTGATTGGAGATAGTGACTCAGTGAAGCTTGAAAACCTATTATTTGCAATTTGCTTAAATGTTATGAGGTGCATTGATGCGACTTTTATCTCGTGAAAAATGACGATAAAATTTAAAGTACAAAGGTACCTTTCAAAAAAATCTTCATGGCCATAAATCCACGTTTTAACAAAAATTTATTGGTGAAAAATGCTTTTTATTAAGTGCACTGTCCGCCTCCTTGTTTGACGTACTTATTACACACCTGGTTTTCGATATTGAAGTATTCTCTTTCCGCTTTGCTAACCGCGCAAAAATCACGCTACCCACCAGTTTGGTCTTCTACTTTTCTTAACCATTTATGTAAAATATGTTGCACTGCTTGATTTCAAGATTGCAACCATAGCAAGCGCATTTCAAAATTATGCGATTAGCTAGAACTAAACTGATGCGTTGCAGAGAACATAACGAATTCCATTCATTTAGCAAATGACAGGATATTTGATCGTTTATAAGACGCCTAAGAGAGCAGAAAAATTAATCGATATTGTTATGTAAACTGCTGCAGTCAAATGTTCTCTACTTCGGTTTATTCAGGTAACAGTAAACTTTTGGGGCGCTTTCTAACGGTGACTGCAGGATTTCCTCCAGATCCTGATCTTGAAGGACTGACAGCTTTGTATTCTTCATGCACCTGGGGATAACGAAATTGTTGTGTTTAATCTATCTATTAAATATCTATTAAATATCTATTAAATATCTATTAAATATCTATTACATATCTATTAAATATCTATTAAATATCAGAATTGACCTTAGCCACAGAGGAATTGGGGTTTATTAAAAATTGATTAATGAGGAACAGTGCGTAATGAATAATTCACTTTAATTCATTCCAACTTACGTGATTTTTGCCGAATTCTCTACGCACCAATCTAAATTCCCTTAAGCTTCCACTCCAACTTACCATAATGCAAATGAATCCTTGGACAGTTGAAAAGTATTGGCCGCGGCTATCAAAAGGTCCTGGGTGGAGGCTGATTGGTCAACTTTAACAGTTCGCGTGAGAACCAATGTGATATCACGTGTTTTGCTTGATGATTGCTGCGTTAAGTCAGAATTTCTTGATTTTGGAGCCGGAGGAAGGGGTTTCGTAGGGGGTGCGTCTACTTCATTAGAGGACCATGATGGTGTCTTGGGTAAAGAGCCCACCATTTTTTTCCGCTGAGTAAACGGTGAACGATTTCCGATCCTACCGCCGCCTGTAGAAGAATCTCCTGGTGAAGCTTGAGATTGACCAGGGCTGACTGGGTTCTGAAGGTGGCCTGGAGACAGGTTTTTCTCTGCCTTTGCTTCAGTGGAGACTTCTTTTAGAACACCATTTGATTCTTTTTCCTGGATTTCTTTTGACAGGGCATGTCCTTTTGATACCTAGAACAAAAAAACATTTTAACGGTGTTCTCTTTTTATATAAAAAAAAAGCAGTCAAGAAAGGTATCGCTCGTTTTTCTAACTTTTTAAGTGGTTGTTTCCTATATTATAACGTTTTTACATACCGCCTGTTTAGCTGCAGGCTGATGCTGTTCCAAACGTTGTTCATCTCCCAGGTCTTTGGAAGGATTCGTCGGTGAACGAGGACTTGTCTGAAAATTACAAATGAGCTATAATAATGCAGATGGCTTGTGTCTCAAAACTGGAATCTCTCTGGCATTCGAAACAGTGGCAATAAAGTTCTTCATATTTGTCTCTTACTGATGAAAGCAATGATTCAGCCAAAACCAAGCAAAATAATTAATGATAACCTGCAATATTATGATTAGCGGTTGGAAAGTTACCTTTTTTGACTCCAAACGTGAATCAGGAAACCTAGTCATTTCTCTTTCAACAACAACCTTAGAAAGGGAATGTGCATTAAAAAAAAAACAAATAAATAATTACACTTAACAGAGAGATGTAAAAAACAAATCAAAATACAGCAAAGAAAAGAATCAATGAAAAAAAAAAAATGAAAAAAAAAGGAAACTAACTTCTTGTTATATGCTACCATCAAACCCTAAAGAGTACCTTGGAGTGGCCCACGATATTTTGTTTCATGCTGATTGCATCAATTTGACGTTTTTGTGGTTGATATACAACGCGAGAGGGTAAGTCATAAGGCTCTACTTCTTTTCCAGACTGCAGAGACAAAACCCAAACTCAACCTTAGTATCATTAGAGATCGCACGGTCGGCTGACCATTCACGACAGGGAATAGGTCGGTGAAGTGAATGCACTGGTCAGCAGCCTTACATGTGCTAGTTGGTGACGTAATGTACAGATGTCAGACGTTCAGTTAGAAAAGGAGTGACACAATACGATAGCAAGCCAAACAGCTGGTCAGTTGGTCAGTCAGTAGCTAGTGAACCAGACGGTTATTTGGTCATGCAGTCTGCTTGCCAGTCAGTCAGCTCAGCCGGTGGGTCATGGTTGGTGATTCTGTTCACCAGTCGGTAAGTCAGTCTCTCAATAAGATGGTGCGTCAGCAAGTCAGTTATAATCAGGAAATAAGTAGGTACCGGAGTGAGACGGTTAGTTAAACCCTAACCCTAAACATTCAATAAATAATGGGGTCGATCAATAGCTTGCTACAAAACTGTTTATCTATTGCAAGGTTTTTCTTCTTCTGGCCTAAGGGAACAATTCATAGCCGTGCTGAAGTCTCACCTCCCAGGAATCAAGGAAGTCGTCAATTGCACGATGACGTGGCTCCACCTTGGCTTGTAAAGCCTTCAAAAAGTCACTTTTGGCTTCTTGAGTATCAGCAAGTCTGGATTTAGCAATAGCCCGGTTGACCAGAATCTGCAAATAAAAAAAAGGCCAATTACTAATAATGATGATGATAAAAAAAGAATATGAAAGAACAAGACAACGATAGGCTTATTCAAGGTGGAGTGCGTATGGTTATGTGGAATATTAAAAAGGAGGCTTTACAGCTTACCTCACACAAGTAAAGTTTGGCTTTTAAGCCTAATGGATAATAAGTTATCAATTTATTTCCACGGAGAAAGGAATGAGCATCATTAAAGTTCTTCAGTGCCTCGTCATTTCTGATGGAAAAAAAAAATTCAATAACGCTTCTTATCTGAGTATTAAAGACACCCGATGTCTAATATCTGTGCTACTGCTTGCAAGTTATATGGTTCGTCTGCTCCCTTGTCAATGGAGAGATGTAAGAACCTTTTTGTTGGCCTGCCATGAAGCGATGTGTGTGATTAAGTGAGTTACATAACCTGTAACTGCAGAATCATCAGCAGGGAAACGTATCAAAGTATTGGTGGAAGCCCTTGATATTGTAATGAACATCCCGCATGGCAAGAGTTACATCAGTGTTAGTTTGACTTCACACTACGTTTCCATTTACCAATAAAACAGCCAACATGACTGCGAGGATGGATAACTTTTCCTTACCTGTTCAAAGCCAAGTTGGTGTTCCCCAGCAGAAAATGAGTAACTGCCGACATTTTGTCTTTTTCTATAGACTCTTCAAAACTCTGTGAAGATGAGAATAGATAATTTACTAGTGACGGCATTCTCGATATAATTCAGTGCTCTAGTGCTTTATCAAAGCTTAATTAAACTGTGAGACTCGAATACAAGTTTTACGGTATAAATAATATCTACCTTTGCGGCCATCTCCATTCTATCAAGACCACGATACATTTGTCCAATATTAAACAGATTTCTGCCTGAAGTGATCAGTTGCTGAGAAGAATCGGTCCTTCCTTCTAGAGCCATAAAGTTTGTAAGTGCCTCCTCATAGTTGCCCTTCTCCATAAAATTCACACCATCTTTCCAAATCTGCAAAGTCTTCACCATGGACATGTCCCCCATATTGAAACAAAGCTGGTTGCTAAGGGAACATGGAGAGTTTAGAAACCTTTTCTCCTTCAAAAGGAACGTTACGACTCTCTTATTTGAGGGGGGAAGAGGGAGAGATGGTAGAATTAATGCTTTTAAATCTGCTTTAAGCTATTTTCATATGGTAGAAAAAGTAGACCAAGAATTGAAGTTATGGCAGCAAATTAAGATGGGCTCCAAAGATGATATTAATATTATGGGTTGTATATTATGACGTAGCGTGAGAGGGCGGGGGTTACGTCATGGTATCTAAACCTTCTAATTACCACTCGAGAAAATTAGCAACTGAAAACAGTGGGTTTAAAACATCCGTGCGTGCAAACAAAGTCTCAAATTTACCTGTCCGAAAAACTTAAATGGAAAATGCTTTACTATACCATTGGTATTGTTTCGGCAAAGATCAAAGCCATTTTGTGTAAGTGATCCAGTGTTTCATCATAAGTTCATTTAGTTTTGTTACTGAGTCAAACCTACATTATCTCATAATGAATGGTTAATATCAGACAAACCTAACTGGCATTTAAGGCAGCTAATACAGGGCTATGTTCATTCGGCGACTTAAGTTTTGCAATTTACCGGAAGACTGTGTATATAATCTCACAGCTAACATTATGCTGTATGAGAAATGCATATTCTGAGAACGGTGATGCGTACGACTAACAAATCGAGGCACGTGCTATTCCAGTATTCATTCTTTATTTTCACCACAGTTTACGTCTGTATCTCAAAGTTGGAAGCAAAGAAGTGCGTTCCCAAACGAGTTTGAACTTAAAGCCCACAATTGTGAGTTAAGGTGCAAATGTACATCACCAAGCCGGCCAATTATAGCGCAAACTACGTAAGCAGGCAAGATTCAATTGGAAAATGTCTTTCAGTTAGCAGCTTTGTGGTTAGTTTCGAGACGAAGCGCTATTGATGTGGTAAAGCGCGCGGGTAATGCAGGCTGGTAATAGTGAGGTCGCAAAGACGTTTACGGCGAAAGACAAAAATTAAACTTAAAATTGCCGATGAACTGAAGCTAAATTTATCGTTAATGCATAACCAAGTGTCCTCGATGATAAATCGTTACCCCGAGTTTTAAAAGCAAGCCGAAGAGGTAGCCTTTCAGCAAAACAGCCAATATCAGTTCTTAATGGCTTTTTCCTGATAGAATTCTTGGAAGAAAAAGCCTTTAATAGGAAACAATTAGGGGCCGCGTCTTAACACGAGTCTAAGCTGTAACTACAAAACTAAAATCACTTACCTGAATTGCTAAATTCGAGTTTCCGAAGTTTTTGCACGGCAGCTAAAGTGCCCACCAGTTATTAGTGGCTGGAGTGAATATCGACTGATCCGAATGGAGCTGTGGTTCGAATAATAATCAAAACGGCCCGGAGGCAAAGTCAATTCACTGAAGCTTGATTGTGGTTTAAAATCGTTTGTAAGATGAAAACAACACCCTAGCCCATAAAAGGAAAGTAACATTTTTTTTAGCCTCATTTCCAATTTCTTAAGAAAAACACTTCATAAAGAATTTCCGCAAACAGTGACACAATTCAAATGTAAATCAAATGACCTAGTTGATAGGTAGCCGCAAATAGGTAGCCTGAATAATTAAATCCTAACAATATTATCTCCTCATACTCGCCATAAATCAGTTTACCACGCAAGTGCTTAGTTGAGGTTTTATTGCTGCCACGAAACACTTCAACAAGGAGTCATCTGCAAAGATTGTTGGATCAAAATAATCTAGGGATTCATGACTAAATTTTTCGCCAGGAAAAATTTTGTCCTGTGGGTTGACATCTGATAAACATTAAAAATACACTAAATAAAAAAATGAAGCTAAAAATATTAAAAGGCCTGAGGCTAATCTAATCTCAGATATTTGGGCCTGTATAAATGGGTGTAAATCTTTGCTTCCATTGCTTTAAACGCATAATGAGTTTGATAGGCGTGCGTACTTCGAGAACTTTGAGTAAATATCACTGCTGTACACGATTTCACCTGCTGTAACTAGGCAGCTTTAGACGAAAATGCCTAACAATTAGCTACAACGTCACCCAAGCTTTTATCACGTCATTAGCCGCCCACAAAAAAAGCTTAGCACGTTATCAGCGCTTTCACTGATTAAGGAACCTCCTGCTGACGTATTCGTTAACGAGAAAATTTGGTTGTAAACAATAGAAATAGACGATGTTTACCACGCTGCTGAAGAAAGAACACCGAAGTTATTAAGCCTACATCCGCTTCATTTACTTTTGCGATCAACAGAAATTACCTGGAAGATTTTGGGCGATATGGTGAGTACTATAATGTTGAGTAGTGGTAGTAAATGAAAATGATCAACTCAAAATACCTAACTAAATATCCCTCAATTTACACACTCTGTTTGTTTGTGTGAGTGCCCAGTAACACAATTATACCTTTTATCATTAGTCAGTTCTGTGTATGGGTTATTTGGGTAATTCAGTCGATTGTTCTAGATTATCATGCTCAAATTTTCATTGGCTTAGGCTTCTGACAACAAATTTCGGAGATTTTTTTGTATAATTCATAAGTATTTCATTGGCAGGAGATCCTCTGTTAGTCCGTGCGCGCTGCTACTAGTGACAGCAAGGAAAACAAGTTGGAAGAAACGAAAAAAAGAAATATTATATTCAGATTAACAGATCAAGAACCCCAAACATATTAATCCTTTAATCATTCAAAAAATACTTACTGTTAGTACAAGATTTTAAGAAAAAGTCGTGATAGACGGCATAGGGTAAAATATGGACTGGACTGGACTAGAATAGACTATTTCTTGGACGATTTTGGACTATTTTTTGGACCATTTTTTGGACCATTTTTTTGGACCATTTTTTGGACCATTTTATAAAGGGGGAGGCACACCTTTAGTACTCAGGGAGGGGTGGGTGCAGTCGAAAAGTACTGAGGGAGGGGTGGGGAAATAGTGTTATTACTCAGGGAGGGGTGGTAGGTGGTGGTAATTGTAAACACTACTGGTTAATGGAGCTTTTACTCGATCGTAATAATTATTTTAATCGGTTTTTCGACTGACTTCTCCTACATCAACATTTTGCGCTGGGCCGCAGCGTTTCTTTAAAGTTTTAGCCATGCGAAAGCGAAACTGCCACGCAAACACTGGACTTTAATTCTTATTGAAAATATCGCGTTTACGATCCTCCACTGTCGAGTTACCAGTCTGGCAGAGGTTATGCGTGTGCCTTTTGAGTCGACTTGTGCACCATCAGTTTTCCTTTGTGTGATTACCAGATTTATCTATCTTTCTTTTGCCGTTGATGTTATCAGACGAGCTCAAGATTACAGAATTTCCGTTCTTTGGCTTTTCCTTGACTTTAGCCGCAAATATAGAATTCACAAGCGCTATCGCAATTTTAACGTTTGTACGTTTACTATATCAAATCATTTTTGGTACAATCGTACAAAGCAATAATCTCTCAAGTGTCTCGTTAACACAGACCTAGAAAACGCAGACCGCAGACCGCAGACCGCAGACCGCAGACCGCAGACCGCAGACCGCAGACCGCAGACCGCAGACCGCACACCTCGAAAAGGTAGTTTGGAAACACAAAATGCTGAAATTTAGAACCGGAACCGGAACCGGAACACCCGGAATTCCCGGAATGACCGAAAAATAATAATTTTTAAGAAAATAAAAGTAAATTAATAAATAAATAAGAATATTGATGATTAAAAATTGATGGTAAATTCACAACTTAATTAAACAATTATAATTGAACTACTAAACTAATTAAAATGCTCCGAACTATTACAAATTAATACTCTACCTTAAATAATTATTAACCACACATTGGGAGCTATCAAAGTAGCTACCATTAAGACCAGCTGTCTACTGTTAAAATTGAGAGATCTTCAGTTACTCGACACCTTTTCGTGTTTATTCTATATACCTTGAATATAAACCTTTGAATAGAAACCCTGTACAGATGGATTTTTCTAAACAAGGTTTATATTCAAAGGTACATATTCAAGGTATTTATAATAAACGCGAAAAGATGTCGAGTAACTGACAATCTCTCAATCACTGTAGACGGCTGATCTTGATAGCTCCAAATGTGTGGTTAATAACATTTAAGGTAGAGTTTTAATTTGTAATAGTTCGGAGCTTTTTACAATTGAACAACTAAACTAATTAGAAATATTGCATTTGTTTAATCTTCTGCAATGGTTCCGGCTGGAAAAGCGTGGCGGCCTAATGGTCATGGCTCCCTAGACATCCTACAGGTGTGTAAATGAGTGGAGGCGAATTTGAAACGGGGAGAAACCAAGTGATGGATTAGCATCCCATCTAGGGGGGAGAGTACAAATACGTCGTCGCTTAGGCTGTATGGGCTACTGGCCTGACGAAGACTTTTTTTTTAATTCTAATAGGTGCATCTCCATGAGCAGTGCCGGTAATTAAAGAAACGCCGCGGCCCCGCGCAAACATTTTGATAGAAGACAGTCGAAAAACCGATTAAAATAAATAGTACGATCGAGTAAAAGCTCCTTTAACCAGTAGCGTTTACAATTACAACCACCTACCACCCCTCACTGAGTAATAACACTCTTCCCCCACCCCTCCCTCAGTACTTGTACTCAATACTTGTCGACTGCACCCATCCCTTCCTGAGTACTAAAGCTGTGCCTCCCCCCTTACAAATGGTCCAAAAATTCGTCCAAAAAATCGTCTAAAAAATAGTCTAGTCCAGTCCAGTTCATATTCTACCCTATGTCTTGATACACTGGTAGCGATGTACTCTCGAATGATTCCATTTTCCAGAAAAATACACACATAAATTACCTAAGCAGCAACATTAACGGCCAAGCAACTATCGTCTTATCATACAGATATTACAGATTATCTTAACAGCGCAAAGAAGATATCATATTTTGAAGAAAAGGACCTACTATTACGCCCATACCAGTATGATATAGAAAGGCATTACAGCAACGATATTCCGAGAAAATTATGTGTGTACTGTTATGAACAGAAAAGGTTGATGTAGTTTTCAAATCAGCAGTTGGGACGCACTATTTTTATCAGTAAGAAAAATATTAGAGTGCAGGGCGATAAACATCTCAGGACTGTTTCACAAAAACTACACTTTCTCAAATCTCATTACATTCTTTTAAATAACTTTACAAATAAGCGAAACAGTTCTGCTGAGACTCACGAAACCTAGAGAAATTATACCTATATTCCACAAAAACAACAATCAATCAAGCAAACAAAAACCAAACTACAACTGGATGAATAGATAATTCGAACAAATAATTCTATTTTGAATCATGGCATTCAGTTAGTCTCCATTCCTTCGCAGTCCTTCTTTGCGATATCACTCAACACTACCGCAGGCGAATTCAAGACTTTTTTGAAGGAAGTGTTGCACAGCATCCTAAAGAACGGCTGCCAGTAATTAGATTAATCTAAAAAAAATACTCCTTGAGACGAACTGTTAGAAAACTAACTACTGATCTTAAGTTTGTTGATATACCTCTTCGCTGGTCCATTTAATCAGAGTTAATAGAGTTCCCTCTATTAACTCTGATTTAATCAAAGAGGTGGTTTGCACGTTACGTCATTGCCGCCATGTTGGTGGACGTAAACAATAGCTATCTCATTAGCTCCTATTATTCGTCCACCAGCATTTGTTCCTTTCACCACTGTTGACTGTCTCTAGAGATTGGTTGCAAACCACCTCTAGACCGCACTTTTTACTTTTTAGTACCGGCAGAATAACCTATGCGGGGTGTTAATAACATTAATTGGAGGAACACGAGATAAGTGTGTAAAAATCACGACCCAGAGGCGCGAGATGTAAAAAATTTTCGAGATTATTCCCTCGATGACAGAAATGTTAAATAGCTGTACCTCATAGATAATCTTTAAACAACTTATCTTACCGATCAGTTCCCTTAAGTGAAAGTCTACTTCAAGTGTCTGTCACAACTGTGTGGTGTGCTGCACAAAACAAGACTTGAAATTTATCAAACAGAAAATGTATGTATAATGTACCACACGCACGCAAGAAATGATTATCTTTGATATCACAATGACTCGCCCTTGGAGCAGTTTAATTAAAAAAAAAAAAAAGTATATACCTTACATAACTGTTTAAAAATGACTCTTTAAAAATGAGTAGTGACTGACAGAGTTATCAATTAGCTCACGTAAATTGCAGTGAAAAAACGTTCATCACTCGGGTTTGTTTTCGTAACAGAACACCGTTTGCTCCGTTGGCGACTGGAGTAATTCTTTCACATTCTGCTCTTGGAGAGAGCTGAGCTGATTGTCCTTCGTGTACCTGAATAAAATAAATCAAACACCTAGTATTTTACAAAGCTTCGATAACTATTGGAAGACTTCTATATTATATGTAACAGTTACTTATCCCATATCCTAACACCTTGATATCACACTGAGGAATTAGACCGAGAGAATCAAGAGAAAAATATATGTGGAACTATACCTGATAAACGGATTAATTATTTATTATTTATTATTATTTATTATTTATTATTATTTATTATTTATTATTATTTATTAGGGAATGAAGAGACGACTTTCTGCCCCACGCTAAACTTTTTTTTCAGGCAGGTTTTTTTCTTCGATGAGCAATAATTTTTTTGGGCGCAATTTTCAAGTGGCTAAATTTATTCAAAACTGTTACCCTCGTTGAAAATGTTACACAAAGTAGTGCGCTAATAATGCATGGCCCATCGCAAAGGTTTGTCATCTCATTCGTACACTACAAAGTTGAAACCAAAAATTTGTCGGCAAAATATAAATTATTGCAACTGTAACATCAATCGTCATACCATAATGCAAATGAATCTTCGGACATTTTAAATGTATTGGCCGCGGCTCTCAGAAGGTCCTGGGCCGAGGCTGATTGGTCCACTTTCACAGATCGCGTGAGAACCAACTGAAACTTGACCGTGACGTCACGTTCTTGTTTGAATTGAGCTGGCATCGATATTTTTCTTGTAGGAAGGGGGCTTTTAGATTTTGGAGCTGGAGGTAGGGGCTTGGAAGGGGGTTTCATTTCAAATGCAGATTGCGCTCGTCTATTCTCTGCTTGAATTACAGGCCTCTTGTGAGGCAGCGGGGAACGAGATTCAGCCAGAAATCTCGGGGTATGAGATGCACGCGGAGAAGGTGGGGGTCGACGGGGACTCTCTGGCCTGTCGGGAAGGCCTGGAAGCGGCTTCCTCGGTGGTTCTATCCGAGAAGAGACTTTCTTCAATGAACGACGAGTTTCTTTTTTCCTCAAGTCGTTTAATAATGCGTGTCTTCCTGAAGCCTGATAACGATGCAGATTTACATTTTCAGTCAACAGCTATAGGTGAATGTGGTGACCGATGAGCGGAAATTCTATTTCAAAACATTAATTTTTTTCTAACACGCTAAACGCGATCAGTGCAAACTTAAAATAAGCTAGCATAACAAGGTTTGATTATATAGAGACAAACCTTCGTAAGTAAACCAAGAACAAACTTAATAAAGAGGGTAANNCGACTGCTTTATTCTTGTAGGCCCCCCCCCCCCTCACCAAAAATTATTAATATATCAACTAACATCTTATTACATACCACCCGTCCAGCTGCAGGGATTTGCTGTTCAGGAGATTGCTCATTTTCTACATCTTTCAGAAGACCCGGGGATGGAGGCTGAGTCTGACAAACAGAATAAGAGCATTGTATGAGGTGCGATGATACAAAAAATACCTAGGCAGCCATATGCAATGTACCGGGTTTCAGGCCGGGGAGTTAGGCTTCAGAGAACATGTCATTTCTATCTCCACCATTTAAAGCATAAAATAAAAATGTTCTATTCATCTACGTTTTCAGATTGCACTGCAAACTCCAATTTGTCCTCAAATGTGCTATAAATTCGACAACCAATACACAAACAACCCCGCGACCTGGCCGCACCCGCAGAACCAAACCGGAAAGTTTGGTTCACAAAAAGGTGCTTGATGAAGACTTCGACTCGAAGATGCCTTTCCCTGAAACTATAACTGATCACCAAAGGATGAAAAAAAAAATCAGAGGGAGATTGTTCAGTTTAAGCCACAGGTAAGCGACCAGGCAGTTCAAGCAGGAGTCACAATGACGTCATCCACCACTAGGATTTAAAAGGACGTTTAAAGACAACTTTAGAAAGGCTAGGCTACTCTATAGAATCTAGAGACCCACTCAGTGTCTTGATTTCATAACAATTATGGCTTGGGAGATTGAAAAATAGTACGGTTTCTGGATCGATGAACTTGTGTCCACATGTGGAAAAATAAGCTTCCAAAGATCTTCTAAAGATAATAGGATCTAGCATGAAGAAAATATAAGACAAAAATCAGTACAAACGTACCGTGGAGGTTCTAAGGCGAGTACTGGGAAATCTTGTGACTTCATTTTCAGCGACAACCTAACATTGCAAAAGTTATGAAAGCTGTAAAAGTTTCTCACAGACCGCCGAACCATACTTAGTGAGATTATCTATTCACACTCTCTTACCAGTTTAGAGTGTAGATGAAAATACTCTAGCACGAACTGACGCCTTCTTTATGATTATAATCACACAATTACTAAGTACACCAGAAAGGACAACTCTACCCCAGCCTCTCAATTACACCAGTATACTCATCAGGGCCCATTTGTTCAAAGGCTGATTAGCGTGAATCCAGAGTTAAATTTTAATTCAGGTTTCTTTATTTCTCTATTCGAGAGCCTTCTTGGGATAATTTTCCTTAGTCTTTTCAGAGAATCCAATCTTCAAACTGTAGAAAAAAAAGAATTATATTGAATTTCCTTTTCAAGCTGTCAGATCTGAAGTCAAACTTTACACAAACCCTGGGTTATATTAACCTAGCTTTTGAACAACCCTGCCCCAGTGGTCTTGTGTGTTATAGTCAGCCTTGCCCAGTGGTCTTGTGTGTTATAGTCAGCCTTGCCCAGTGGTCTTGTGTGTTATAGTCAGCCTTGCCCAGTGGTCTTGTGTGTTATAGTCAGCCCTGCCCAGTGGCCTTGTGTGTTATAGTCAGCCCTGCCCAGTGGTCTTGTGTGTTATAAGTCAGCCTTGCCCAGTGGTCTTGTGTGTTATAGTCAGCCTTGCCCAGTGGTCTTGTGTGTTATAGAGTCAGCCCTGCCCAGTGGTCTTGTGTGCTATAGTCAGTGGTGAGCAGATTTTACCTGGCGTATGGATTCAATTTCCAAAGAGAACTGAGGAGTTAATCAAACTATCCCCACCGACAACAACGAAATTTTTCTTTTTGAATTACAGGCAGTGTTCTTCAACCTTATTTCGCTCTTTACCTTGGATTGTCCCAAGAAATCACGCTTTTCGCTAATGGCATCAATATGGCGTTTCTGTGGCTGAAAGACTGCATTTGATGGCATCTTCATGGGTTCTACATTTTGTCCAGACTGATGGGTAAGAGACAAGAAGGTTTTATTAAATATGTATATTCATTATGAAGAGAAAAAGAAATGGAAAGTCTTGACAGACAGACATCAATTGCAGTTAAAGATACGTAGTCAGTCCAAAGGCAAGCCAGCTTGTTTGGCCATTCAGTCAGCTGGTCAGTCAGCC